TGTTGTTTAACAGTATTTTGTTGTGAGGAGCTTCATAACTTGTACTCTTCTCCAAGTATAATTAGAATCAACAAATCAAGGAGGATGAGATGGACAGGGCATGTAGCTCGAATGGGGAGACGAGGAATGCGTATAGAATATTGGTGGGAAAGGCAGAAGACAGGGAAGACCAAGGCGTAGGTGGGTGGACAGTATTAGAATGGATCTCAGAGAGACAGGATGGGATGGTATGGATTGGATAGGTCTGGCTCAGGATAGCGACAAGTGGAGGGCTCTTGTGAACACGGTGATGAACCTTCGGGTTCCATAAAATGCTGGGAAATTCATGAGTAGCTGCACGACTGGCGGCTTCTCAAGAAAGGCTCAGCTCCATTAGTAAGTAAGTTGTGACGGATTTAATAAAGAAATTTATACATTTAACACAACAGGATGAAACCATTGAAAACCGTTAACTTTAGACTTATGTTACGTCACTGTATGGTTATGTAGATTATATTAAGTGCTGGTCCCCAGAATATTTAACAATTTTTTAAAACTGGTGTAATACTGTATAAGCTACCTAAAATATAAATGATACTTGCAAAGAGCGATATTACTGATCGATCAAAATCTTGGACTGTCTGAGAACTGACACTTGGATCTGACAGTGTGCATGTAGCTCGGAAGTCTCAGCCAGTAGTCGAACCACGGCTCACGGCACCCAGACTGGTAAGGGCGCGATACCGTTCTAAACTGAATGACGCAGAGTCATATATTTTGGGATATAACGCGACGTAGTTCGTTCAAAGTTAACAGACTTTTGGGAGGAACATGTCGCCTCCATCTTCATCGTCGAACCCTGAGCCAAGCAAGAAGCAAAGGAAGACGCAGGTAGCAAGCTGAGTGGCGTAGTACATAAATCTTGCAGCCTTCACTCTCCTCGGATGGGAAACTGACACTTCCTCTATAACGAAAGGAATTCCGTTTTGTATTGACCTAGTCTATTGGCGCATCGTGTTAACTGACTGACGTGAATTAGCAATATTTGTGTTCAAATTTTATGCAGAACTTTGGTAAGGCAGCCAGAGAAACTTAACGGCATGGTGCAAAGTGTGTTTGGAAATTAAACTCTCGCTGTTCTAAAACAATTCATTACTTTATCGATTTAAATACGACCGGGGGTTATGCACCAACTCGCCTGTCTTTGTGCACATTAATGTCGGAGGGATCGGCTCTCGTTTTCATGGTAAGATTCTGGTGACAGAAAAGTGACCGTGAAGATTAGTCTTATGGGATGTAACACCATGAAGCATTGTAGATATTTACCCTCGTTTCATTGGGAGCAACGGGCTTCATCCTCAAAGCAGAAGACCTGAAGCTTCATGCGATACGTTCATAACTATGTAGCAGACTAGACGGAGTCAGCCCAGAAAACAATACTCGTCACAGTCACCTTATATTTCACAAGAGCGACCATTCGTGAAGTTCCAGCACCTGTTTCGCATGTCAGGTGAGAAGCCTCGTCAGGAAACAACGTTCCTCGCCTGGTGCTCTGTTCCCAGATTTTTTTTTTAATTTGTATGGTGGTGGTGGGGGTGGGGGTGGAGGTGGAGTCCAGTTGGGTCCACTCGGCACGTCGGCCATTGGTTTGCCTATTGTTTTCCTTTCCGATGACAAACCGGTTACGTGTATGACAATTAGTTTCCGAGATATACATTTTTTTTTTGATACCTTTCATCCGGACACCCGGTATAAATGGCCAGACCTCTGTAATCATTATGTGTAATCGGGTGGGTGTGGGGGAGAAAATTATAAAATGTATTAAATATTTTGACCTTTAATTTTTCTACCCAAACTCAGTCTCAGAATAAATTCGTCAAATTTCGTAACACTGCAACTTTGAAGGTCTCATTATCCATACTTTCTTACGCGATGTTCTACAGAACATGTTTGTTGTATTGTAGCAGACTAACATGTAAACCAAGTCACAGACATTGCATCGTTTGAGTCTCATTCATTAGCATGAGATAAATCTCGTTAAATATAAATTCTTCATTTCCTAATAATTACATTCCTCTTCTTCACGTGTTAGTAGTGCGAATTATTTACCGTGACTCCGTGTTTAATCCACTTCTGCAGTTCGTGATGTCTCTTAGTCGTATGGCTGGCTCTTATATGTTGTCTGACGGAATATTTCATAATTTTCTTCATATGAGTGAGATTTTTAGGTTTTCACGGCCGTGTTTATGAAGATTCCTCTCTTCTGGGGAGTGATGTCCGGAATTCTAGGTAATAGAGGACACTCTAGGTAATAGAGAATGTTCAGTGATTGAAATTAGTTCTTTATAAGGGGCCCAACTGAGTAGGTGTCTTCCTTTGTCACCTGAAGACGGAAACAGATCCAGTTTTCGAAACGTAGTGTCCTCTATTACCTAGTATTCCGGACGATGGAAAAAGTCCGAAACCCAGTAATTCACGAAAATAGCTTGTCATGCATTCCGCCTGAGATGTAGCAAGCAATTAATGAAACGCTTTGAGTTACACTTTCATATTCCATAAACAGTTTCACCTTATTCTTTCCTGTTTGGACATTATAGGTCACGGAAATCCCGACAGTAATTTAGGATCACTCCGTAGTTTTGGTTCCCTCTAGCCTTCATGTTAACCGGTTTTTGTGTACACCTTTAGATTTAAAACGCGACCTCACCCAAGCTCTCCTTTAGTGGTAAAAGTCCATTATAAAAATGGTGAATCTCACATTTATTTCCTTTTTTTCTTTTGAAGGCTTTCTTCCCCCCCCCCGGCACTTCAGCCCCAGTGGGCTTAGGCCTACCTCCATGAACTTCTCCGTTCACTTCGGTTTTTCTAGATCTTACACATTCGGTAGGACTCCTTGGGCGGGTGATCAGCTCGTCGCAAGGCCTCTACCTGTGTACAAACACAAACTAAACATCCATGCCCTGGGTGGGATTCGAACCCACGATCCCGGTTTCCAAGCGAGCGGAGACAGTACATGCCTTAGACCGCTCGGCTACCGTGACTGGCTTTTGAAGGCGTTACTGTTTTATAATTACAAATACCACCATTCATATTTCCTGACAGAACTGCTGTGCATCCTGGGATATATCGTCAAGTTAAGTTTCTGCGTTTCGTCTCACGATTAGAGTATAAAGACATAGACGAGTCGAGGCGAAAGAAGCCCGACCTGTTTTTGAACGGCGTGAGTAGCTTAATGAAGACATTGCTGGGTTATCAGACAAATGGTATTCTCCCGCGAAACTTCTCTTTATCATATCTCACGTACTTAAGTCTTTAAGTATCTATACTTATGGTCTATAATGAATGAATGAATACATTATGTATTCTGTTCCATTCTCTGCATGAGAATGCTGCTCATTATACATATTTCGGGATTCGATGTCCTCAGACGCTTTCACAGTGGCTGTCTTCGACTGGTCGAACTTGGGATCATGGGTTCGAATACCAGTCTGGACACGAATGTCAATATTCTTAGCCTACGTTCCTTAGAGGAGGTAAGGAGACTTGTAAGATCACCATGAAGTGCGCGTGTTCGTGGCCCTTTATAAACTTCTGAACTAATTGACTGATTTTCGCGAAACTAGGTATGTGTATTATGACATTATACGTCACCGTAACGTCATACTTTTAAATTGTTTGCGGTCAGTAACAGCATTGCAGATGGATAAATGTATGAGGTAGAAGCGACACTGTACTTATTTAATATAGAGTCCTTCGTTAAGATAATATTCTTGTAGAACTCTACTAACAATATGGTTACGGTTCGGAATCTGCGTTTGATGAATATAACTGATACCTACACATTAGGTGTACTATAATGTGACGTGACGCCTGAAAGCCGGAATCATGGAGTCAGATCAAAGTTGATTTTGTAGGCAACGAGTCTTAAAGGAGCACATTCTCATAACGTTTTTTTTTTCCTTGGCACTACAGCCCCAGTGGGCCTAGGCCTACCTCCATGAACTCCGATCACTTCGGTTTTTCTAGATCTTACACATTCGGTATTACTCCTTGGGCGAGTGATCAGCTCGTCGCAAGGCCTCTACCTGTAGACAAACAGAAAAACGCACACAAACATCCATGCCCTGAGTGGGATTGGAACCCACTATCCCGGTTTCCAAGCGAGCGAAGACAGTACATGCCTTAGACCGCTCGGCTACCGTGACCGGCCATGAAACTAGAATCGTGTCCAATAGTCATTAATAGTTCTGCTAGACGAGAAGCCTGTTCAGTAACAAACAGGCTTTATGAGTTTCGCTCACTTCCTGTCTTCTGCTTGTTGAGGCCATGCGATAGCCCAGTCGCACAAGAAACCGTAGCCTCAGGAGCTAATTATAAATTGGAACCGAACAGATATCCTAATCCAGAAAATGCTGTAGGATGATCATAGCAATCACGCATGGATCCTTGATCGGTCTCAAAGTATTCGATCGCTATACTATGAGCCTAAGTTAGTTACGCGTAAAGCCATACATTCTCTTCCATCTGTTCGCGCCTTTAATTAAAACTCTATTTCCTGTCTGATATTCTCTAGGTCTTTTCATGGCTTATTCTGGAACCAGTGCATATAATTTTGTTCTCGCAATTCAGATTGGTTGTATAATTATGATTTCGACGTTTTATTGTTTCGCGTTCTTACCAGTGAACTGTGCTTGGTTGCGTAAGAGCTTTTCTCCTGAGTATTGAACTATAAGCCCGTAAGATTTTGTATTTAGTCTGATCGTAAAAACATCTACAGATTTAATATTAATCACATTTTAAGTGCTAAAAGTTGCAGACGTGGCGACAATGCGAAACTTCTAGGTTATATCGGAAAAATGTAGTGTAATTTAAATCTGTAGAATATATACAGAATTTTTTCATAAAATTAGGTTAACAAGTACCTAAGTAATAATTATTAAGTTGTATTACAGGTTGGCTTCACCATGTAAATTGAAGAGTGCTAATGATTTTTTTATTCAAATATTTCTTTTCTCTTTCAGGTTATGTGATGGAGTGGACTCAGCAAATCGCCTTATAAGTAAGTAAGAGAATGTCAGTACTTGTCTTTAGAAGTGTAAATGTCCCTAACACAAGTTGCTGTTTATTTTCGTGATAATTTGAATACCAAAATCGTATCTAGTGACGGAAGACTGCATAATTCTAGTTTCTTCTCTCGTTACTTTAAAACATCTGAAAGTCAGACACTAAATACCGTGAGATCTGAAACCCAATGCGTCAGTTGTTCTCGTAATATTTATTTATGTACGATATTTATAAATGTATCATAGGCAAATATAGACATATGCAGTAGGAGATGAATTATGTTTGTGCTTGTGCGTTATCTGACTGTATGTTATAATATGAAAATATTTAAAAAATGACCGAAAGAAATCCAGAAAATGACCTAAAATATGACCCAATAATGTAATATGCAGGGCCCGGATATTGATGACCAAAAAATGTCCGAAAAAATCCAGAAAAATGACCTAAAGGAGAAAAGAAAGAACACTTCGCTTCCATGTTATTCACATTTCAGTAAACATATGAAGAAAAATTCCCTAAAATGACCAAAAATGACAAGAAATACCCTTGAAAGTCCAAAAATTTACTAAAAAATAACACCAAAAATGAAAAAAATGACCTTAAGCCTAAAAATGTCAAAAAATGCCATAGCTCAAGCGGTTAGTCGCTGGCTTCCCAACGCTGCGGCCCGGGTTCGATCCCTGGTATGGTCAAGAGGGATTTCTGGTGGACAAAGTGGCGCTGTGGCAGGGTTTCTCCGAGTACTTCGGTTTCCCTGCCAATCTTCATTCCACCAATTGCTCCACAATCACCCTCACCTATCATCTGGGGCTGGTACAATAGGCCAGAAGTGGCCGCAGAACAAGGGACTTAGTCCCACCCCACTGGCAATAAAAAAAATAGTCACGTTGCAAAGAAAGGGATCAGTCCTAACGATGGAGGTAGTATATTCCTGTAAAACATCGACATATGCAGTCAGTAGCTTAAAATGGTACGTGACCTGAAATCTGTAATCACTGCCTGTGAGGTAGTAGGGTACATTTCAGGGTGGACACATGGCTAGATGTCGTGACATGGACTGGCATCTTTTATTAGTATTTCCCACGATACATTTTTCAGTTCAGAATACAAATTTCTGGTACTTAAATATTAGGCGTTAATGTCTGTCCTAAAAAGGTGAACAAATCGGCCTTAAGATTGGTTTCAGGAAATGTTTCTTAAAGTGAATGATTTTCATCACAATCGGCCGTGTTTTTTCGAAACTGCATAGGCATTTCGTTCTTCAGACGTTACGGTTAATTCTGCGTGGACAAACAAACAAAAGCAAACTCCGTGACGTGTAGTCCTCAAGCGAACTATACCGAAGTTATTGCCAACTTTAGCGGATAGAGAGTGTCGCGTGGTCAGTGCAACGGATTCCGACGGCCGTTAATTTCGGTTTTCTAGACCCGAGCCGCTATTTCCTTGATATATCTCCTCAGTTATCCTCACGAGGCTGAGTGGACCCCGTTCCGGACCTACTACTTCTCAGAAAATCTGGTAGCGCCGGGAATCGAACCCTGGACCTCTGGATCTGTAGCTAGGAACTTTAACCACTAGACCACAGAGTGCGTGGACATATGCTTTAAAGTTGAAGCCAACAGCAGGACTGTGGTTGCCACATCTTATGTTCTGAAATATCCAGACTGGTTTTGCCACAAGTGACGTCGAATTTACATCAGTGTATTAGACATACGCATTAAATAAGAAGATAAAAACTAAGTTAATCCGGGGAGCATAAACAGGCTTTAGGCAGTCAGAATATTGCCGTACCTAAAAGTATCGCTAGTTTCTTAGGAGTGAGGTGTAACTTTGATGAGACAGCCATTACAGTATTACTAAGCAATAGCAAAAGACTAGAGAATTAAAAAAACGCTTTGGTAGTGATGGAGCAAATAACATAGGACGTAACATTCGGTCACTCTGCTGGTACCGTATTGTGGGTAACTTGCTTGTCTGTTTGGTCTCCTGTCAGATTTATGGGGAAATATGTCATCACGTGACTTCACCTGTCGTGTGTTAAAGTTTGTTTTTGCTGTTTTATTCCTTCACAGTCAACAACTATTACTAGTTTCTCTAGTGAAAAATATATTTGCTTATTGAATAAACAGTTTTACCAGGTCATATGGAGACCAGTATAATGATGAAGAGGTTGTATGTCCCATAAGTAAAACATGAAGAAGGTGCTATAAATGAAGGACGAAAGCAGAGAATGAGTTGTGATAGCAGTGCCCATGGATACCTTCTAAGCGAGCGGATAGTGGGGTGGGACTAAGTCCCTTGTACTGCGGCCACTTCTGGCCTATTGTACCAGCCCCAGATGATAGGTGAGGGTGATTGTGGAGCAATTGGTGGAATGAAGATTGGCAGGGGGAACCGAAGTACTCGGAGAAAACCTGCCCAGCGCCACTTTGTTCACCACAAATCCCACTTGACCAGACCCAGGATCGAGCCCGGCGTCCGCGGTGGGAAGCCAGCGACTAACCGCTTGAGCTATGGCACGGCCTTGAGTACCTTTATGCACTTCGTAATTCCGAAGTGCACAGTACTCTTGTGATTTAGATTAGGTATCTTAATCTGTTCGAAATTTAGCCAGGACATTCGCATTCCTAATTGAGGAATTTCGTGATTTTCATCAATATATCGATTATAATTATGATATAGTACTTTTAAATTGGTCACGACCCCTTCCTAATATCTTCGAGTTCCTTGTCTCGCGAAATGACCTCTGCGGCTAGTAAAAGGCAAAAAGGGTAAAGCTCTTCCTGTAACAGGCCGTCGAGGCTCCGAAATTTTCTAGACAACTGTCTCACAGATGGCAATGAGGTAAGCTTTACGCACCGGCCGTCCTTTACCTCCAGGAAGATTCCTGGTACTGATTTATGTTAGAGGTTGAGTCGACCCCAGGGCCATAATGCGGCCGGAAGGATCAGGTCAATTGAAAAATCCAATGACGTAGGAAATCGAACTACGACCTTCCGCCTTATAGCATAGTGCCTCAACCAACTACGCTACCCCCCCCCCCCTGCAGCTGGTAACGCGTTTAAAGCTTTTTCAGAATCTCTAGATGTTAGACAGGCGCGCATAGAACCCTGACTCACAAGTTTTAGCTTGCTTTAAGCTGGGTTTCGAGGGCGCGAACGGTGCGCCCGACCTGGCGGCAGTTGCGGTTCTGTGAATCTGCAGACTCAACATCGCTCTTAACCAAAGCCCAGCATTGGACACGCCAGTGAGGTAGCTCCATCAAACTCCCTTCTTGAGAACCTCCCAGTGGTACACTTCCTTGTTATACTTAGCTGTCACGACAGAGACTGTGGCGTCTGGGAGGCAACGCTGTGCAGTGTGCTTGATAGGTAGGCCTACCAACGTTTCGGAGAAATCTGCTGCCTTCAGCTTCAAGGTAGACCAAGCCAATCACTGAAGATGAGGACAGCAGTTTCCTCTTGGTGTCTATCTACTTGTGTGAAACTACACGGCTTCACATCCTTCACGTATCACCACCAAAATTCTATACACGTATGCTTTTCTTCTTTGCCCCATTGTAGTCTTGTGTATTTCAGTATCTTAACAATGCTAGGTGAGCTTTGTAATTAACATGACGTCGTGTAATCTGGTAGAAGTTTGTCATTGTGGAGGAACGTATTTCAGAGCAGCTGCAGGATGAAGGCCGTAGGTTCCCCCGAAACATCGACCTTTAATGACAGACATTTGTTAAAGTAGCTGTAAGGTAGCTTAGTTAGGGAATCAAGCAACACCTCAGCGAAATGGTGACTAATATTTTCCCCCCCAAATTCTGACTTCTTGATTTATTGCATTGAAACAGAGAAAGAATCTAATCATAATATTTACCAATCAGAAGACGAGGAGTCAGCACTTCTTGCTGAAAATATAAACAGAACAACAGGCAGAACAGGTTGGTGCCACCTGCTCTAACCTTACAGATTGTCCAAGTTTTGGCCACAGACCGTATTTATGGATTGCTTATTTCCATCAGCAAAATAATGACTATCGAAGAATACTATCTTCCGGGGCGTGACGCCGTGTAGTGTGATGAAACTTAGTCCTGAGTGTTCAGTCTGATTCAGTCTAATTTAGTTTTATTACAAACAGAGAACAGTATCCACATAAGACCTATAGCCCTGAATATGGAGCCCACATGTTTCTCAGGAACGTCCATAAATTTCTACCAGACTGCACGGCCTCACATCTCAGAAGACAGCATTCTTCATAGTCACACCGGATCTCGCAAAGAAAGATCGTTTCCTTGAAGAGCATTAATCGACTGGACCTTCTGATGGAGATGACGTGCTTCCTTGAGGTAGGAACTGAATCGTTTAATCTTATTCAGATGAATTTCATGCTTCGGGGGATCATTTCTCGTTATTTGCGGTTCTGATTTCCATATAAACCACTCAGTGTGTGGCAGTTGCCCACCGCAGTGCTGCTTATGTTACCTGCATGACAACACAGATGGCTCAATCAGAAGTCTCCTGCTGTCATGAACGTAATTAGAGGCCCCTGAACTTGAACCGCAAACCTTGGGGATATTCACATTCGCTTTGGGTCTTTGCGGTCGGAGAACATAAGGTTTTATATCCACAGGACGACTACCTCAGTTGTAATTATCGATTTGCGTGCGATCTTGGTTTTTTAAGTGGTCACAGGTCTGTTCTGTGCAGTGGAGTTTCCGTAGTTTCTTGTGGAAAGGTTTGCTTTTCCGTGTATCTCCAAAAGTGATCCACACAGAGTCGGCGATAGGCAGTACCGTGAGGAAAACAGTTGGGCTAATATTATTTAGAGAAACATTGAGATAAATTGCTTATGTACTTGAAAGTTGCACTTTATAAAGAAATGCAAAATACGTAGTGAACCCTCATCATAACGGACCCGGATGTGACGTATTTCGCATATAAAGGAAAAAAAATATGCCTGTGTACAATTGTAAATTTTTAGAGATATTGAGGCACTTAGAACGTG